GGTTTTGACCCGTGCTTCTCCTCGACCCCGCCGTTCCCCAGCTTCGCCCTCCCCTTCCCGCTACGCAGCCCACCAATAATCCCCAGCCAATCAATAGTAACTGTTCTCTCGATAATTCATAACATTAACATACACTCAATGGCCCAGCGGATGGATGGGGAAGACATAGGAGGGCCATCATTCTAGTATCGATCCCCCTTAGAGGGAGTCGATAGGCGGGGAGGTGATGGAGTTATAGCCTCCTGGAGGTAGAGCCACAGCAGAGCCTCGAATAAACAGACAACACACACACACACAGTTATCCTCTCATGCACACAGACATATGGACAGACACCGACACCAGCTTTCAGCATATGGGATGTACACATGTTTGTGTCCTTTGCTGTGCCATACTGTCACTAACAAAGATAAGAGGAACCCCTTTTAATTACCCCCCTGAGCAGAAATCTGCTTCTTCATCACCCCTCCGTCTCTGCTATCTGACTTCCTCCTTGTCTCCACATCGCTCCCTCTGGTTTTCCTGCGTTCCCTTTGCTCCTCTCTGCCATTCCACAGGGCCCCCTGTCCCCTAAGATTTAGCTACCACCTTCGCCTTTTGATTTCATGTCCCCATCGCTCCATACCTCCCGTGCACTGCGTATCCCCCCATGCCTGTTCTACCTCTCCTCCGCTCAGAGAACCAGCCGCCAGCTAATCCTCAAATCATGTTGCCTTAGATGTCACAAAGTAATCTAAAAGTAACTTAACGTATTGAGCATGCATGATGTGGATGTGCTACTGACTAGCAGTGAGCCATCATTCTAAACATACGTAAAATTAGAAAACATATTAAATTGAATTAATTCAGTTTGTGTCAGACAATGATTTCTGAAGGTTAAACAAAAATCTGAACCCATGCACACTATAACAACATTATAATTAGATTAACTTTATTGATCCCAATTTGGATTTTTTAAATATAAAACAGAGCTTAACATTTAAATAGATGTTATATTGACAGTGAAAGATATCAATCTGTAGACTATGCGTCAAATATATACGAAAGGCCAATTACAGCTAATACAATTTAAAAGTAGGATAATATGTGTGATAATTCTGAATAAGGACAATGAACATGTATTAACACTAAATACACATTATATATGTCCTAATACTGCAGATGCCACACATCTGTGTTAGCTACAGCTTTCCCTACAGTAGCCCACAATCCTCCCTCTATGGCTGAGCGTTTGACCCAAAATGCCTTGCCAGCTCTTTCTCTCCAGTCAGACAAATAGCACAGCCAGTAAACTCTTCCCTCCTCGGTTTCTATCTCCCTTGTGAGACATAAAGCACCCTTCACCCATTTCCTCCAGCTCCTCATCCTCACTTCTACCCCTCTCCCAAAGCCCCACAAGGGCCCTACGCACAGCACCCTGAAATATAGACTGGTGTAATGGCCCACTAAATTAACTCCTTGTAAGCGTGGTTTAGGAATGGTGGTAATTAGCATATAATAGGTGTGGGAGAGGAGGTAAAGGGCCAGGCCTGCCCTGGGGGCCCCGAGGCAGGGGCTGCGGCCCTCTCCTGTCTCCATCTCTAATAGCGCTGCAAAGTTCAGCCTTATAAACATGTCAGTGAGACGCGTGATTAAACGGCGCGGTCATTAGATAATGGATCCTGTACCTGTGGACTGCCTATTACTCCCATGTCAGGCCAGCTCAGCGCTACCTTGGCTACGTCTGCACACACACACATACGGACACACATATGAGTTAACTGGAGATTCTTTTATCCTAAATCTACATGCAGGAGAGAATAAGTAGGAGTGAAAAAAGAGAGAGGGACAGGGAGAGAAAGAGTGAACAAGCCCAGCGCAGAGCAGCACCCTGACTGATGTAGTTCCAATAATTGCAAGGCCCTGCTTTCTCATCCAAGTGCCTTTTACTTATTTAAACTGTTTGCTTTAAGCGCCACTGAAGCCAATTAGGGGAGGCATAATTCAATGGGGCAGGGAATGAAGGGAGAAGGAGGGCAGTGGGAAGGAGGAGGGGGGTGAAGAGAAGAGAGGACGCTGCTTTTCAGCCGACCCTTCATCATTTTACTGCTCTGTCCTCTTTATGCGCTTTTACTCCCACACAAGATTTGTCAGTACTTAACCTTTATTCTGATTATACCTTGCATTGAGTCCCCTAATCTATCATAGGAGAAACACACATGTTATATAACCAAGACATAACTGAGAAAATTAACCAGACTATGAGAGAAGGGAAAGAGAGTAAGGAGTTGTGGTTTAGGGTTTTAATCTTGATGTTTAATGAACTACAACATCACCATAGCCTACTACTACTTCCTGGAAGAACTGCATTCAGCTAGGTTGCTAGTATCCTCTTAATTTCATCTGGGTTTCCACTCTGGTTTTGGGATGGATACTTGGCCAGTGAACTTATCCCTTGTTTTTCTGTCAAGGCACTCCCCTAAAAAGACCTGCTGGACTTGCACAAACAACAATGCTTTATGAAAGCCATTAAAGATAATGGTATTGCTCATGTTAACAAGCCATCAGTTATACAATCATACACAAATGCACACGCTTACACACAAGCTTACATCCTAATAAAGTGAACCTTTGTTACAGCCCCATACGTGTAACGTAACACTACTTACTCTAACAGGGTTTAAGACGGCAATACCTGAATCAGTCATGATTGGAAATGTGCATTAATATAAAAATACAGGCAAATGGCTGTATAGACACATACTGGGTTGGAATATCATTCATATTTCAACTTATAATATTAATATCCAAGGTCCAACATACTGAGGGAAAAAGACATGGAAAAAGGATAGTGTTCACAGTAACTGTGGTTCCCTCTGAGTGGGAACCAGTGGATGAACTAGTGGCTACGATGCAGAACTCGAAATGTAGGTGGGACAGAGAGTAGGAAAGCACATACAATCATTTCAACGCACGCTTCATATCTATCTGCTACAGACATGTATCCATTCTTTCAGATTAATAAGAGCTGAAGCTGGTGGAGCAACATGGGCTGGCCCAGACCTTCACTCATTCTAACAGCCATTTAATAAATGTGATTGCAAATGGAACTTGTCACTTGCGCTGGGGAGAGCTGGCCAGTCAATACCTCAGCTGGCAGGTGCCTGGGGTCACATATAAGTCAGCAAGTGATGGATATGTATCCAATAATTGATGTAGGGCAGCAGTTATTGTCAGTTTGGCTCCTGCCTCTATTGCTTATTAAAAGCTGTTGGCCTTAAGTACCAGCCAGCCAATTACTGAGGGAGCGAGGTGACTGTTTAGGAGCCTAGACCCTGAGGCTCTCTGTTGAGAAAAGAAATTAACTAGTCTATTGTTTTAGTGTGTGCATGCCTCTCTGTATGTGTGCGTGTTTCATCTAAAATCCTGAGCGTTTATTTTTTCCAGTGAACTTCCTTTTAGTGAGGCTCCATTTCATTGTTCTACCAAAGTGGTTTCCTCAAATGTACATTTACTGTAATACAGTGCACATTAATCTGATGAGTGAACTCCTGCCTCTCATCAGGTCAAAATAGAACTGTTCCCCTCTCTATTGTTGTAGTTGACCTTGCAGGTTATGTCAGAGCCTGAGAAAAGGAGAACGTAGCAAACATCGCTGCTCCGCGTTGACCTGGTGACCTGATGACCTGGCCTTGCATTGCTTGGTTATTAATGAACTGGCAAGTTTGTTTCCAGTTCCTCTTTCTTGGTTCGAGGTTAACTCATCTGGAGATGAACTTGTATGTGCTGTTGTCCATAAGTGGGAATCTCCGCAATTACACAATCAAGAACAGGTCACCGTGTGGGCGACAAGCAATTTTCTCATTAATCAGGATAATGTCCGGACTTTTTTCATAGCTTCCCTTAGCACACAACAGGAGGTTGTTGTGTCAGATGCATTCTTAATAACAAAAAATGCTTGGTTTGGTTAGATCAGGTAGAAGGCACAACATGACGCAGATTAAACAACAATCCCGTAGCTGGTTCATAATTTGGACATCAAACAAAGAAGTCTCTTGCTGTTCCTCTAAAATGTTCAGCCTTTACCAAAAGAAATGTCTCCATACTGTACTTGTAATTGTCAGTACACTTTTCTGTATTGATGACCAAACTGATTACTAGAGAGCTGACAGGATAAAGGCTTGTTAATGTCCGGCTCGAATAAATCAGACATATACGTTCTCACGTACAGCTCCTCTTGGTTAAGTCTAGATCACTTCAGGCTTGCATTGCACGTGTGACTGGGACGTGGTCAAACAAGCACATAGCAGCACTAAGCACAGCAGCACAGCTTACCAGCAGCGATCTTCCTAACACAATCTCCTCTCTCAATGCACAGAAAGGAGGAAGCAGAATGAGCCGTGATAGTGCGCATCGCCGCAGGCCCTAACCCTAAGACTGTGGGGAGAGAGGGAGGGGAAACTTTGGATGTGACCGTGGCGTGTAGTAATTGTAAAACTCAGAAAGAGCTGCTGAAGCAGAATTCTGACATGTAGCGCTGCTTTTCAGTTCTGATCAAAGGGTCCACCAGAGCAGCAGCTGATAACCCAATCAATTCCCTCCTTTTGTTTTTCGCTGAATGATGCACGTTTAGCGCTAACCTCCAGGCAAAGAATGAAGGAAAGAAAAGGAGGGAAGGGTGGGAGGGGAGGAGTAAAGAAATAAGGCTGGTGGGGTAGGAAAGTAAGAGGGGGAAGGCAAAGAGGAGATTGAAGACGATAATGTAAGAGTAACATTTGAATTCCAGCAAAAGTAAAAATATATCTTTCTTTTTTTTTTTAAGCAAAAGTGGGAACAAATAAAATAAACTTAGCTGATCGTTGGGGAGTTTGATGGATCTATGAAAAGGTATTAAGATGTGCTGCAGGGGATGTGATGCGCAAAGGAGCCGATTAGAATATGAAATGTTTTAGCAGAGAGTGGAGTATAAAGGCAGAGAGATGGAGTACAGATTAAAAAATTACCTGTCGTCTGCTCTCGTCCTTCAGGAGCCGAACAGACTGAGATCCCCTGCCTAAAGAAGACAATCAGTAACAAGAGGGGGGAGAAAGTGTGCGCTTGTGTGGATGAGGAAGAGATAGGAAAAGACAAGGAGAGAGAGACGGATGCTTCTGTAAAAGTAGGAGGTCATAAAGATGGAATGAGAGTGAGAGAGAAGCTAATCATTACAGTTTGCAATGAAAAAGAGGCTTCTTAGACACCAATCAATCAATTGGTCAGGCAATCAATCAGTCTGTATTTAGTAGGCATCATGTCTTCTAGACAGGCTGGCAGAGACAGGGGGAAATGTATGAAGAGGAAAAACACCCACTTCAAGCTCCTGGAAAACAGACTTGCTGGATATTTGTAGAGAATCAAGCACACGCTGATTCAAGCCTATAGAGAGGCACAGCATGTTCGCCTTCAAAACAACTCAATATACTGCTGTAGTGTAAAGTCTCGCCAAGACAAACGGAAACACTCAAAAGAGAAATATCAGCGCAAAAATGCCTTCTCACATTAAGCCTTCATCATGGAATCAACAAAGGAGCAAATTAACACACATTCTGTTTTCACCACAGGTCTAACGAAATGATCATAGCTTGTCATGTTACCTATGCTAATTATACTGTATATTATATTATATGTACTATACTCACCGCTGCTTTTTATTCTCATTCGATGAGAAAAGAACCTAAGTTCATTATCAGAGTTGACGTGAGCTCAGTGTCTTGCTCACTATAAAGCCAGCCATCGAGAAGATGCGCTCCAATTGCGTGGATGTGGATGCCTGTCACTTCCTTGGGGTCGTCCTTTACACACTCGAAATGATTCAACACTTCTGATTTTCTGCCTGACATAACTAACAAAGTGACCAGGCGCATCTCTCAAATTTAGTTTGAGGGTTTTTTGGGGCTTGAGTGACAACAGCGTCCAGGTGGACTAATCTTTAATGCAACTAATAGACTTATAAAACATTGCTCGACAAAGATTTTCTTTAGTGGACTAACGTTTTTATTCCTCGATGTGGCATCACTGGGTCCCTTTTTTGCGTGACAATGTTGTCAATGGAGCACAAATCAATACAAAACAGTGCATGTGGAATGAAAGGAACTCGTACAATGAGCCCTGCAGAATTCCATTTCGCAAATGTTGCAGTGGCTCTTTTAAAATATCAGACTTCTGAAAACAACAAATACCATTTATTACCATGCATAAAGTCACAAATGTCATGTTTAGTATTCAATTTCTGGGCTTTCCCCAACTTTTGGGTTAAGGAGTCAACCAAGAACTACAAAATCCAAGTTTGAGTTCAGAAAGAAATCTATCTTTTTTCTATGTCTTTAATTGAGGCATAAAAATCCCCCAAAAACAATTTTCCAAAAAATGTTAAGTAAAGTACTGTCTAAAATGTTTACAGAGCAATGAATGCATTAGTTAATAATATGAGTCTGACGATTGCTTCCCATGAGAACCTGGTGCTGCTTTGTGAACTGTATGGGGCCTGAGTGTTATGATCGTTGAATGTTCTAAAGGTAGTTGGTAGTGAGGATGTAATGAGGGTAAAAGGAATCACACAGGGAGGAACTGTGTGTGTCCAAAGGTCTCCACTGTAGGAGACTTCCACCCTCCTGCGTGGAGCCGGCCTGACGGATGGGGATTAAAAGACGCTAATGTGCACACGGGGGCCGCTGACCTTCCACAGAGATTGACTTTACACCAGTGGAAATGGAAGCCAGTAAATCAGCAAGCTGCTGTGGCGCTCGTCTCAACGCATCACTCCCTCCGACAGTGTCAGCCGAGACAGGAGCACATTTATCACAAACATAGGCCCAACACTGTGCTGTAGGTACAGCGCTGTCCCATCCATTTATCCATTTAGCACCGACTTTAACACCCACAACGTATAGCTACACAAATGAAGCGATGGACCAAAGCAAAGACTGACATTCTAACACAGCTGGACATTTCTGTATACACACTTTACGAACAGAAAGAATACATTGTTTAATTTTCTAGTTTGAATGCCTTTTTTAACTTCCAATGCATTTACTTCATTTATAGTGCTCTGATTGTAATCTAAATGTCTTAATAATGGTGTGTTATCTTTGCAAACAGAGGACTGCAATCTGTTTTGTTTTTTTTGTTTTTTTGGTTTTTATCTGTGTAAGGGGAAGAGTCTTGCCTTTGTGGTCTCTGGCAGCGAGGCCTGGTTAGGGAAGAGGAACATCTGTGATAAATGTCATATCGAACCAAATGAGCTCTGGCACAGCGGAGGGCCCATGACAAACTTCCTGCATGTGCTAATATGAGGATGGATTTGGAGCCAGTCAATTGCAAGCTGGCACACACACATACGCGTTTAAACACAGAAACACGCATGCGTAAATGGCCAAACATCCAAGTGAATGCACTTCTCGTTATGTAGAGAGACATTTAACACTTGTGATCGGCATAGAGACAAATATGAGCTTAACTTAAGTGTGAATGGACAGACACAAGAGGGAGATGGAAGCAGCATTTATCTTTTCAATAAACCTACCCACACTGGCAAAGATAGACACTCACAGAAACATAATGTATATTCAGTGCATTGCTCTCCAGGCAGTGCTGGGAGTGTTATCAACAGTGGAGTTGTTTCGCAGTGGCAGTTGATAGAACTCATTCAGTCTTATTGACCAGTAAAGGGCCCCACAGAGACCGGAGTCCCTTTATAGACTGACCCTCAGCTTTCCACCATACACAGGCCAGAGGCTAGTGAGGGCCAGGGGGGCACTAATCCTCCCACAGGTCAGGGCCCCGGCCCACTTCAGCCTGCCAAAGCCCACTCCCAAGCCCAAGTGCGGCCCACTCCACTCAATACCCTTTTAATTGCATTGGGATGGTTTGCGACCTATCGATTAATAGGTGTATTTATGTCATCCCAGGCCCAGAGGCTACATTGTATTTCTGTGTGGCATATTCATTTATTTACCTATCTGTCCCGCCCCTCATGCATCATCCATATATCTATCCATCTCTCCTCCGAGAGCACTTCAATTCAAGGGCTCCCATAATTACTGCAGCCCTATAATTGAGTGCTTTGATTTAGGATTTTTCTGTTCCCTCTTCCCTGCCATCGCCATCACTCGCTCCACGCCTCTTCCAATGAAAGACAGAGGGATGAGATATGGAAATAGAAAAATGGGAGATGGAGAGTAGAAGATACCCCCCACCCTTTTTTTTTCCACACACACACACACACACACACACACACACACACACACACACACACACACACACACACACTCACACTTATCAGAATCTACTGTTTCTGTCATCCAAGAGGGGAGGGGTAAGTTGATAATTACTAAGGGAGATTCATGCAAATCGATGCCAAATTAAAGCATTATAAAGGCTTTTATCAGCTTTTCTTTTCCAAATTGAAGACGATAAAAACCCATTTGAGAGGCGGGAGAAATGGCCCCCCATCCTTTCATTTCAAAAAAAGAAAAAAGAATTGTAATTATGTTAACACCAATAGAATCCAAAACCCCTTTTCTTAACTCACTTACTCATTCATAATTAATTTCTCACAAAACTGGGCAGGAAGAACAATGCCGTCCAGCGTCCCCTCCCCTCTCTCTATTTTTAGCAGAATAAGGGGGAGTGCAGGAGATATTGTTGAGTATTGTGACAGAGGGCTCATTTCCATACCTAGTCTAACACGAGGATCCTCTTGCTTCCTTAGCTTAGCTCTAACCGCCTCGGGGCAGCAGTAAAAGTGGGTCTGTTTAAGAAACAAAGGTGGGTGGACAAGGACCGGATGGTGCATCTGGAGCTAGGAAGACCTACAGAAACTCAGAGTATGAGAAACGGAGACAGACAAAATTAGAAGAGATATCCTTGACCAGGGACATTTCCTTATACCAAAAGAACAGAAAGTATACTTTTCCAACCACACAGCCAACAGACTTGGAGTCCGTTACCAAAACATGGATTTCCCTGCATTTACGTCACAACCCCTTCGTTCATACCAGCTTTAATAGTCCAAGGTTTTAAGTTGGAGGAGAAACAGGCCTACAGAGAAACAGATTGCTACGACAAGCAGACACAACAGAGATAAGGCCTCGAAGTGGAAGCGATTAAAGAACGACCGCCTGACAGACAGTCACCTCAGGGCTGTCTTGTTGATCTATTAGAGATTCAACGCTTCGGTTATAGGACGCTCAACAGCGACGCCTGCTCACCTCCCCCAACTGAAGGCTGTGACGGGACAGACCAAACACTCATGTTGAGGTGTGGACTGGGTGGGTGGGGGGGAGAGAGATAACCTGTCACTCTACAGGGTCTTTACACGTAACACATGGTCGGCACATGTACATACATCAACCTTTGCACCGGAGCCAGTCTGATGTGTGTGATGTGTGAAAGACTGAGCTCTTAACTATCGCACACCGTGTCACTCAAACACCAAACGCACACCATTTTCAGATTATTGACAGGCGATGATAATAAAAAAAAAGACACTATGTTTTTCTATCTATCTAGAAATTGATGAGAAAACTGTCATTCACACTGATACACACACTTACACACACACATAGCTGCAGGGTTTTGGCCGAGCTGCGAATTTCTGCAGCTTTTGCTGTTTATGACCTTATTTGGCCTGTGTTCGGAGGGGTCAACAGCGCCAGCCAAAAGTTGCTATGCTGCTAATCCAGGCTAATGTGCTGTTGACAACAGCCCAATTACACAGGACTCCTGCTGACAGAGGAGCAGGAGGAGGGGCCGGAGACAGAGGGTAGGAGCGATGAGGAGGGATGAGAAGGGGCTCGGAGAATAGAACAAAGAAGGAAGACGACAAGAGAGTGAAACAAAGAATGGAAAAAGAAAAAAAAATACAATAAACATTTTTAAAGCTATATTGTATATGTATGTTTGTGCATGTGTGGTTTAGTGGCGAGGCACGCTGCTGTGCGAACACAAGCCTGCTGGGCAGCGAGACAGAGGGAGACTTGGTGAGCGGGGGGGAGCTGCAGGGAGCCTCATTAC